ATATATATATATATATATATATATATATATATATATATATATATATATATATATATATATATATATATATATATATATATATATATATATATATATAGCTGTATCATTAATTTCAAGACATTCATATTGAATTACTTTCAAGACATTCATATACCATTAACTTCAAGACACTCATATAAATTGATAAATTTACTTTCAAGACATTTATATAACATTAGTTTCAAGAAATGTTAAATTACATTACCTTCAAGACATTCTTTAAAAAATCACACCTTAAGTCATTCATATAAAAAATATTCAAATAACATTACCCTAAGAAATGTATGTAACATTACCTTCAAGACATTCTTTAAAAAATTACACCTTAAGTCATTCATATAAAAAATATTCAAATAACATTACCCTAAGAAATGTATGTAACATTATCTTCAAGACATTCTTTAAAAAATTACACTTTTAAGTCATTCATATAAAAAATATTCAAATAACATTACCCTAAGAAATGTATGTAACATTACCTTAAGAAATAAATGTAACATTACCCTAAGAAATGTATGTAACATTACCTTAAGAAATGTATGTAACATTACCTTAAGAAATGTATGTAACATTACCTTAAGAAATGTATGTAACATTACCTTCAAACGCTGTACAATGTGACAGAGATGTTAGACACAATATCCAAATTATTAATTGTTTCATCTCTAAGATTTCCATTTTTTTAGTTTAAAAATGTATCAATGCCAGCATCAGCAAACAAAATGTTACCAAACCCATGTGCCAGTTCGTCTTCAACGTGTGGGCTTGGCTGGATGAATACATAGGAACATGATGTCATAGATCCAATGATCGGGTAAACCCCAGCTTCCGTAGATCTATGAATAGTCCAACATCTGAGGCTGGTGTGTGTCAACATTTGAATAGAGATCGTAATATCGCTGTCACTCTCTCAATAGGCTACGGGTACGTAGGGGAAGTGTTGATCAAACTATAGACCAAGTATAAGCGGTGTTTGACTACTTACTACTTCCCTCATCGTGCTAGCTCTATTTACGCAGAACCATCTACACGAACATTAAACATCCACATTTTCATTCATTTCCTGTGTTAATTATAAATCTTACAACCATCAATCGAAGCTAAAGAAAATTTCATCTTTTTATTATAACAATTAGCTGCAAAGCCTGTCACATGAGTGGCAAAAATGTGTTTTAAATTTTTTTATTTAAGTCAAAGTACGACCACTCCTAACAGACCAATTCGTTTCAAACTTAGCACGTGGGTCAAAACCGATGGCAATGCAATCTGACATAAAATTTAACCTACTTGTATGCTTAATTAATTTTTCAAAAAATTATTTAAAGAAAAAATATGATTTTTTAAAAATATGTAATTATCAAATATCGCAAGTCACTGTATATTCAATACATTAATTACAAAAAAAATTAGAAGAGATCCACACTTTTCTTTATAGTTTTAAAAATAGTAGTGCATGGTTATATATTTAAAGAAAATCGTGTATTTATTCTCTTTAGTGCATAATTATATAAAAGCTTGTTATTGAAACAATTTTTATGATTTTTGTAAGACAACTGTTGAGATAATTGTTGCAGCCAAACTATTGAATATGTCAATAACAAAAATATTTTCATAAATACAATATTAACTACCCGGTAAGAATTCTTTAATTACGATTTTTAACTTTAAAAATTTTAATTTATCTGTAATCTTTATTTATGGAACTTGTTATAACAACAAATACTGATAATACTTATCTAAACATCCGCACGGTCATGCTGAATGTACTTTTATTTGTCCTTAAAATCTTCAGTACTTTAGTAACAACTAGACTACCCGTTATCATTAGGTAACCGTGGGTTTCGGAGGTCATCCATAAATTACATGATGTCTTTCACTTATCATCACAAAATAACCAGACCCCATATTCAAAAAGACGTTTTTGTCTTTTAAAACCACCCATTTCGACTGAGCTGGGTCTGACCACACAATCCATTCATTTGCTGAGGTCACAAAAACAGGTACACTCTACTTCACCTGCCAAGTGTCTCTCCAACTCAGACATGTTTTTATCTTTTAAAACACAGATTTCGGCTGAGCAAGGGTCTGACCACACTATCCCTTAATATGCTGACGTCACAGGTGATCTCTACACGTACCCAACTCTACTTCACCTGCCCAGTGTCCCGCCAAGTCTCAGACAACATGTTTTTTTCGTATAACCACACTATTCCTTCATATGTTGAGGACAAAGAAACAGGTGAACTCTACTTCACCTGCCATGTATCCCGTCAAGTTCCGATAGGCAATTTTATCATTCACATCTAAAAAAAATTGAAAAAAAAAAACATTGACACAATGTGTCTCGAATTCGTCCCACCCACATTGTAACCTAATACATTAACATCATAGCTATCTAGGCTCATAGGATAAAGGACGAATTTACTGATATATTTTACTTTTAGTCTACGTAAGAAACTTCACTTACGCTTGGTGGGGGTTCGGTGCCGCCAAAAAGGTTAAGAGCCGCCGTGGTAGATCGTAACTTTTTGTGTTTTTATTGTTTCTGTTTCTGATTTTTGTTTTGCTTCCTTTGGCTGGACATAATTTTACCCCGTACTGTGCACTTTACCCAATACTGAGTACATGGGGTATTCTGCCAATACTGAGTACATGGGATATTTTGAGAATACTGAGTACATAGGATATTTTGCCAATACTAAACACAAACACGGCACTTAATACTTTTGACTTTTATAATTCTTTTATAATTTTGACTTTGAATTTTAACAAGCAAATAATAAATCTAAATATATTTTATTTCTTGGAATATAAAGTGAACTCACTAAGCTAATAAAATACACATTTCAAAAAGTATTTTAGACCTGCCTAAATAGTTTTCATAACAAGCTTTGTAAATGTGTTACAGTTTTAGAGAAATAAGTTAGTAACAGCGTGATCAATAAAATATATAATTTTCTAATATATTTGATCTCATAATTGTCAATCAAAAATGGAAATGATCTTACATCAAACAATTATCTTAAAATAGTACGCTACTAATTTAAAAATAATAATTAGAAAAATCCGTTTACATGATAGAAATGTATGATAAAAAATCTCGTCTATGTATTGTTCTACACATCAAACTCCTACACGTTTATTTTCCTACACTTTAGTTCTCTACACATTTTTAATATTGTCATACATTTGAGTTCTTTACACATTATTCTGATGTCCTACACTTGAGTTCTCTACACATTATTCGGTTGTCCTACGCTTGAGTTCTCTACACATTATTCTGTTGTCCTACAGTTCTCTACACATTATTCTGTTGTCCTACAGGTCTCTACACATTATTCTGATGTCCTACACTTGAGTTCTCTATACATTATTCTGTTGTCCTACACTTGAGTTCTCTACACATTATTATGTTATCCTACAGTTCTCTACACATTATTCTGTTGTCCTACACTTGAGTTCTCTACACATTATTATGTTATCCTACAGTTCTCTACACATTATTCTGTTGTCCTACGCTTGAGTTCTCTACACATTATTCTGTTGTCCTACAGTTCTCTACACATTATTCTGTTGTCCTACACTTGAGTTCTCTACACATTATTCTGTTGTCCTACACTTGAGTTCTCTACACATTATTCTGTTGTCCTACAGTTCTCTACACATTATTCTGTTGTCCTACACTTGAGTTCTCTACACATTATTCTGTTGTCCTACACTTGAGTTCTCTACACATTATTCTGTTGTCCTACACTTGAGTTCTCTACACATTATTCTGTTGACACCCCTCCTCTACACATTTGTTTGTTGATCTTGTTGGTACTGGGATACCACACTGTTAAATAAAAATTCTCTCAATAAAAATTGTTTATAATTTAACCACGCACTTTGGATACGTAGAGAAAGTGTTGCCTCCTAAATTAAGTCAGAGGTCAATCAAACTGTAATTCGGGTCCTAAGTCAGGTCCTAAGTCAGGTCCTAAGTCAGGTCCTAAGTCAGGTCCTAAGTCAGGTCCTAAGTCAGGTCCTAAATCATGTCCTAAGTCAGGTCCTAAGTCAGATCCTAAGTCAGGTCCTAAGTCAGGTCCTAAGTCAGGTCCTAAGTCAGGTCCTAAGTCAGGTCCTAAATCATGTCCTAAGTCAGGTCCTAAGTCAGATCCTAAGTCAGGTCCTAAGTCAGGTCCTAAGGCAGGTCCTAAGTCAGGTCCTAAGTCAGGTCCTAAAGCAACCATGTCGAGCTTATTTATAATTAGGAGTCTTGCCGGGAATATTTTCATAGATCCATTTATTTATTTTTTTTAAATATTGTTTTATTTTTTTTAAGTTCTTGTAAAAATTTTCCCTCGTCTTGAGCTTAACTTGACCCGGACATAATTTAAGAGTTCAATATTTAAAATGTTAAGCTGATTTTTGTAGGGGACGATTTTTAAAGTAGAGCTAGGGTCCTTTAACAACTAGACACTTTTAACAGGTTAGATAGCAGAGCTAAGGTCCTTTAATCTGGACAATGTTAACAAACTATAAAACAGAGCTAATGCCCTAAACCTCTGGACAATATTAACAAGCTATAAAGCAGAGCTAAGGTCCTTATATCTAGACAATGTTAGCAAGCTATAAAGCAGAGCTAAGGTCCTTATATCTAGACAATGTTAACAAGTTATAAGCAGAGCTAAGGTCCTTATACCTAGACAATGTAAACACGCTATAAAGCAGAGCTAAGGTCCTTATATTAAGACAATGTTAACAAGCTATAAAGCAGACATAGCGGCCTCACCTTTTACAGTGTAGCCAGCCCTTTAGGTTAAGTCGGGCTATAAATACAGCACATTGTTCTAACTTGGTCCATTCGGGTGCAGCAGATGACGTAAAGCTGGTTGTTGGTGTGGTGTTGAGTGGTGATGTTTTCTTTGGTGGTGTGGTGGTACTGCGTAAAGTTGGCAGTGGTATTGTGGTGGTAGGTTTCAATATCGTCGTGGTTGCTGTTGTGACAATAGGGCTACGTGCGGTTGTTGTCGTTGGTGGTGGTGATGGTGGTGTTGTTGTAGTGCTGCGTGTGGTTTGTGTGGTGGTGCGGGTAGTTGTAGTCGTTGGTGTTGGTGTTGCGCTACGTGTAGTCGGTGTTGGTGTTGTTGTAGTGGTGCGTGTGGCTGCTGTTGGTGTTGCTGTGATACGTGTGGTTGTTGCCGTTGTGGTGGGTGTTGTCGTGGGTGTTGTTGTCGTAGTTGGTGTTGGTGTTGCTGTAGTAGTACGTGTGGTTGTTGTTGGTGTTGTTGGTGTTGTTGTAGTGGTACGTGTGGTTGTCGGTGTTGCTGTAGTGGTGCGTGAGGTTGTTGTTGGTGTTGTTGGTGTTGTTGTAGTGGTACGTGTGGTTGTTGCGGGTGTTGTTGGTGTTGTTGTAGTGGTACGTGTGGTTGTTGCGGGTGTTGTTGGTGTTGTTGTAGTGGTACGTGTGGTTGTTGCGGGTGTTGTTGGTGTTGTTGTAGTGGTACGTGTGGTTGTTGCGGGTGTTGTTGGTGTTGTTGTAGTGGTACGTGTGGTTGTTGCGGGTGTTGTTGGTGTTGTTGTAGTGGTACGTGTGGTTGTTGCGGGTGTTGTTGGTGTTGTTGTAGTGGTACGTGTGGTTGTTGCGGGTGTTGTTGGTGTTGTTGTAGTGGTACGTGTGGTTGTTGCGGGTGTTGTTGGTGTTGTTGTAGTGGTACGTGTGGTTGTTGCGGGTGTTGTTGGTGTTGTTGTAGTGGTACGTGTGGTTGTTGCGGGTGTTGTTGGTGTTGTTGTAGTGGTACGTGTGGTTGTTGCGGGTGTTGTTGGTGTTGTTGTAGTGGTATGTGTGGTTGTTGCGGGTGTTGTTGGTGTTGTTGTAGTGGTACGTGTGGTTGTTGCGGGTGTTGTTGGTGTTGTTGTAGTGGTACGTGTGGTTGTTGCGGGTGTTGTTGGTGTTGTTGTAGTGGTACGTGTGGTTGTTGCGGGTGTTGTTGGTGTTGTTGTAGTGGTACGTGTGGTTGTTGCGGGTGTTGTTGGTGTTGTTGTAGTGGTACGTGTGGTTGTTGCGGGTGTTGTTGGTGTTGTTGTAGTGGTACGTGTGGTTGTTGCGGGTGTTGTTGTTGTGGTACGTGTGATTGTTGCGGGTGTTGGTGTAGTGGTACGTGTGGTTGTTGTTGGTGTTGTTGTTGTGGTACGTGTGGTTGCTGCCGTTGTGGTGGGTGTTGTCGTGGGTGTTGTCGAAGTTGGTTTTGGTGTTGTTGTAGTGATACGTGTGGTTGTTGTTGGTGTTGTTGTAGTGATCTGTGTGGTTGTCGTGGGTGTGGTAGTGTATAAACTATTTGTCTGATTTACGTCAACACAGCGGCCTAGGTGACACCACTGTAAAGTTGTTTTATAAAATATATCAGATAAAATATAGCAAAGAAAATATATCAGAGAAAATATAGCAAACAAAATATATCAGAGAAAATATAGCAAACAAAATATATCAGACAGAATATAGCAAAGAAAATATATCAGACAAAATATGACAAACAAAATATGTCAGAAAAAATAAAGCAAACAAAATATATCAGAAATAATATATCAGACAAAATATATCAGACAAAATATATCAGACAAAATATAGCAAACACAATATATCAGACAAAATATAGCAAACAAAATATATCAGAGAAAATATAGCAAACAAAATATATCAGACAGAATATAGCAAAGAAAATATATCAGACAAAATATGACAAACAAAATATGTCAGAAAAAATAAAGCAAACAAAATATATCAGAAATAATATATCAGACAAAATATATCAGACAAAATATATCAGACAAAATATAGCAAACACAATATATCAGACAAAATATAGCAAACAAAATATATCAGAAAAAATATATCAGACAAAATATATCAGACAAAATATATCAGACAAAATATAGCAAACACAATATATCAGACAAAATATAGCAAACAAATATATCAGACAAAATATAGCAAACAAATATATCAGACCTCATATCACATAACAGACAGACAGCAGACAAAATATATTAGATAAAATAAAGTGAAAAAAAATTACTTTTCTGAAATGAAAGCGATAACATTTCTACTTTATGGGAATATGTATATAGTGTACTCCCCCCCCCCCCCTACATAAACATCCCGACATAAACAACTACCTTGTATCATTGACAGACTAGAATATCGTGATATAAAGACGTTTGTTTACCTTATATCATTGACAGACTAGAATATCGTGATATAAAGACGTTTGTTTACCTTATATCATTGACAGACTAGAATATCGTGATATAAAGACGTTTGTTTACCTTGTATCATTGACAGACTAGAATATCGTGATATAAAGACGTTTGTTTACCTTATATCATTGACAGACTAGAATATCGTGATATAAAGACGTTTGTTTACCTTGTATCATTGACAGACTAGAATATCGTGATATAAAGATGTTTGTTTACCTTATATCATTGACAGACTAGAATATCGTGATATAAATACGTTTGTTTACCTTGTATCATTGACAGACTAGAATATCGTGTTATACAGATGTTTGTTTACCTTGTCCAGTCCACACGGTGTGTACTCTAGAGGCAAGATGGACACACAGCTGGATGTGTTGGACGGGACACTACACATCATGCCGCTACACATCACCGCCTCCCCACCCACCCTCCACTGCTGGAGCTACACACGGGAATACAAGGAGATAATGATTCGGTTAGCCGTACATGAATCGTCTTAGAGCAGGTGCAGTAGAATAGCGTAAAGTCAGTGTTTATCTACACAAAACAAAACTCAAACGTCTACTCTAAAACACCACTAGTTGTGTTTACATAGAGGATCTAGTATACGTGGAACTAATGGGTCAATTATGTGTCAGATGGTTGTAGCAAAGTTTATATATTTATGACAATAAAACTATGTCACGTGGTGTTAAGATATTTTTGTATACGTCTTACAGGACAGTAGGTGCTGGTTGAGTTTCTCATGGCACGTTGACATTGTTTGTCTCGGCTAAAGACCTCTCCTGCCCTTTGTCCTGGTCCAGGACTTGGTAGGACATCGTTTGATGACGTGTATTCTGGTAATGTGCACGTTTTCCTAACACAGATATGTGTTATATATATATATATATATATATATATATATATATATATATATATATATATATATATATATCGATTCTCTTGTCTAACTGTTTGATTAAAGTCATCAGTTTACCCATTCAGATAATATTTAAAAGCGCTGATGGAACATGGAGAAAATCTCCAAAAGTTTCCCTCCTGTGAGGCTGGAATCAGATTTCTGTAGTAGGTGGCCATGATGTACATGTCGGCGTCGCTGCAGGCTGTCAGGCCGTCGTGCTGAGCAGACAGGCTGTAACAGAGATCTTGTTGCTGTAGTTTGGTTGGTGTTGTAGGTTGGTTGGTGTTGTAGGTTGGTTGGTGTTGTAGGTTGGTTGGTGTTGTAGGTTGGTTGGTGTTGTAGTTTGGTTGGTGTTGTAGTTAGGTTGGTGTTGTAGGTGGTTGGTGTTGTTGTTAGGTTGGTGTTGTAGGTTGGTTGTTGTTGGCTATATTGGGGATCGGTGTTGGATTTTGGTTGGTGTTTAAATTTGGATGATGTTGTAGGTTGGTTGGTGTTGTTTGGTTGGTTTTAAAAATAGGTGTTGGTGTGTTTGGTGTTGTATTTGGTTGGTGTCATGCAATATCAGCACTAATAAGCGTCATTGTTTTAGAGCCTTTATGCCGTGGTACTAATGTGGTTAACATCAAATGCTAAACCCTACGTGTTTTATTGAGCTACAAATGCTCACATTCATTGATCAGATTGAACATAAAACTGTACCTGTGTCCCAGCTCATGAGCAGCTAAGATCCCCAGTCCCCCGTCAAACGAGTTCTCTATGATAGAAACTGCCTGATTGGTGCAGACCTTACCCACAAGTGCCACGCCCATGTGGTTTGATACATCGAAACTGTCAACCATTGATGGTGCGAAACAAAACAAAAATAATTATGAGCAAGGGAGGTAACTTAGGTTAATAAATATGGTTAAATGCTGCTTAAAAATAGTTTTGTTGACGCGGTCGATAAAATTTCAAGGAATGATCTAAAAAATAATTCGATAAAATCCTTTTATTAAGCTAACTATTTACCCCGTGAACAGCATGTAGTGGTCGCTGAGTGGAATATCAACCTGGTACGGTATCCACGCAATGAACGAGTTAAGTCCCTTGGTCTGATCAAATACACCATACGAGTTCACCAAATTCCTGATGAAACTGTCCTCTTTGATGCTCTGTAGAGTTTCAGTAGGACATAATATGAGACACATAAATCACATACAAATCAAAACGCATAGTATCTAATTTTATATATAGGCCTTTATAAAGTAATATACTATATATACTTTATACACACACACACACACACACACACACACATATATATATATATATATATATATATATATATATATATATATATATATATATATATATATATATATATATATATATATATATATATATATATCCGGAAAATGTAATGTATTTTATAAAATGAAGTTCGCTGTCAGAGAAGGTAAGAAATATGAGTAGATATTTTAATATGTAATTACTTTATAAGTATATTGTGTATAACTGACCGTTAAAACTTTGAGAACTGTGACAGTTGTCCTGATCTGTATAGAAGGGTCAACGATTGTTTGGTAGCGGATGTTGATCTGGTGGACGATATTCAGTTGTATTAGGATATTTATTGTACATTTCTAGATGGTTGATTTTCAATATAACGGTTCTAAATATCTGTTTTTTTAAGTTAAAACGAATTTAAAATGTTATTAAAATAATAATTATCATACAAAATTTATGAATATAATTATACACAACTTAAAAAGTTATTTAAACTGGATATATCTACTAAAAATTTAAAATGTCATTCAAATTAAACATAGTTAGGCAAAATTATTTGAAAAATCACTAAAAATAAACATAATTTAAAACGACATTAACACGTATAATGTGTCGGTTAAAATGCCATTACATGTGTAATGTGTGAGTAAAAATGTCATTACACGTTTAATGTGTGAGTAAAAATGTCATTACATATGTAATGTGTGAGTAAAAATTTCATTACACGTGTAATGTGTGATTAAAAATGTCCTTAACACGTGTAATGTGTCGGTTAAAATGCCATAACATGTGTAATATGTGAGTAAAAAAGTCTATAGCACGTGCAATGTGTGAGTACCATATGAGCCACGTAGGTGTACCACACCCGGATTGCCGTCAGAGCATTGGTTGGACCTTCAAGCGCCACCCATCTGTGGACAGACCGAGATATTTTAGTTTGGAAATACATTTTTTTGCCTCGTAATTATTTTAAAATGACAAAAAAAATAATGTGTACACCGTTTTCCCATTTTACTACCTCCTATCCATTCCCTTGCTGTAATCAACAACCACCCCACTTACTTGGTGTATCAGCGAAGTCTACAACCCCCCCCCCCACTTACTTGCTGTAATCAGCGAAGTCTACAACCATCCCCCACCTCCACCCCACTTACTTGCTGTAATCAGCGAAGTCTACAACCATCCCCCACCCTCCACCCCCCATCCCACTTACTTGCTGTAATCAGCGAAGTCTACAACCATCCCCCACCCCACCCCACTTACTTGCTGTAATCAGCGAAGTCTACAACCAACCCCACCCCCACCCCACTTACTTGCTGTAATCAGCGAAGTCTACAACCATCCCCCACCCTCCACCCCCCAACCCACTTACTTGCTGTAATCAGCGAAGTCTACAACCATCCTCCCCCACCCCACCCCACTTACTTGCTGTAATCAGCGAAGTCTACAACCATGGCAATCTCTACAGTGTGTACAACTGTTGCCCTTTTGCGACGTGAGGAAGAAAGTTTTGGTTGTCTGCCCTTGTGTTGGGTCCTTACCAGTTCCGGACTCTCTAGAAAGAGCAAAACATAAATCGCTAATTATTGATACCAAGTTTTGTTAATCATTAAAATGAAGTTCATTAATATTGTCAAGCTAGCAGTAAATCTTGTCCCTTTTATTATTGAATTTAGTATTCTTTCAATTAAATTGTAATGATTAATCTTCTTTCTAATTAGATTCAAAATGATATATCCTTGCATTATCACCGGTGACGAACGTATCTTGAATAAAATGGGTCAACGTTGAGTTACAAGATTTGCCACAAACAGGCAAACAAACAGACATTGTGAACTAAAGAGCAGTGTATTAAAAAACTGTCACCTCACCTACAGGGTCGATAATCCCGTCATTTAAAAAATGGGTGGTTTTATTAGACATAAAGTGGGAAATTTTATGCAAATGGAGGTCACCGTCTGCACTACGTCTGTCCCTGTCTAACGGTTCAACCTGCCACTCCACCGTGTCGTGTGCAAAGTTTCCCTCCTGTAAACAAAGATGGATATTAGCTTTGATATTTATTTATTTATTTATTTATTTATTTATTCATTCATTTATTCATTCATTCATTCATTCATTCATTCATTCATTCATTCATTCATTCATTCATTCATTCATTCATTCATTCATTCATTCATTCATTCATTCATTCATTCATTCATTCATTCATTCATTCATTCATTCATTCATTCATTCATTCATTCATTCATTCATTCATTCATTCATTCATTCATTCATTCATTCATTCATTCATTCATTCATTCATTCATTCATTCATTCATTCATTCATTCATTCATTCATTCATTCATTCATTCATTCATTCATTCATTCATTCATTCATTCATTCATTCATTCATTCATTCATTCATTCATTCATTCATTCATTCATTCATTCATTCATTCATTCATTCATTCATTCATTCATTCATTCATTCATTCAATTAATTTATTTATTTATTTGTTTATTTGTTTTTTGTTTATTTATTTTATTTATTTATTTATTTATTTATTTAATTTATTTATTTATTTATTTATTTATTTATTTATTTATTTATTTATTTATTTATTTATTTATTTATTTATTTATTTATTTATTTATTTATTTATTTATTTATTTATTTATTTATTTATTTATTTATTTATTTATTTATTTATTTATTTATTTATTTATTTATTTATTTATTTATTTATTTATTTATTTATTTATTTATTTATTTATTTATTTATTTATTTATTTATTTATTTATTTATTTATTTATTTATTTATTTATTTATTTATTTATTTATTTATTTATTTATTTATTTATTTATTTATTTATTTATTTATTTATTTATTTATTTATTTATTTATTTATTTATTTATTTATTTATTTATTTATTTATTTATTTATTTATTTATTTATTTATTTATTTATTTATTTATTTATTTATTTATTTATTTATTTATTTATTTATTTATTTATTTATTTATTTATTTATTTATTTATTTATTTATTTATTTATTTATTTATTTATTTATTTATTTATTTATTTATTTATTTATTTATTTATTTATTTATTTATTTATTTATTTATTTATTTATTTATTTATTTATTTATTTATTTATTTATTTATTTATTTATTTATTTATTTATTTATTTATTTATTTATTTATTTATTTATTTATTTATTTATTTATTTATTTATTTATTTATTTATTTATTTATTTATTTATTTATTTATTTATTTATTTATTTATTTATTTATTTATTTATTTATTTATTTATTTATTTATTTATTTATTTATTTATTTATTTATTTATTTATTTATTTATTTATTTATTTATTTATTTATTTATTTATTTATTTATTTATTTATTTATTTATTTATTTATTTATTTATTTATTTATTTATTTATTTATTTATTTATTTATTTATTTATAATTATATTTTTTATTCCTTTTTAATTACATTTTTGTATATATATTTATTCATTTATAGATCCTAGTAAATGTAATTCTAGGTACGCATATGTTTTAAATTTCGTTCTAGCTATGCATATGTTTTAAATTTCTTTCTAGGTATGCATATGTTTTTAATTTCGCAGCTCTATAAGTTACCAATGTGTATTTCCCAGCCAACCTCTTCACAATAAACGCTCCGTTATGTTTTGAGTCGGTGTATACAGCCACGTCCTGTTGAGAGAAAAATTAGAGTGGATTGATGTAATTTTAGAACATAGTATCAGTGGCAAGTATCATCTGTTTGATCTTATTGAAATCTTTTACCTGCATGTCGTGTGTTGTAGCACCTGATCCACTAGTTACTGTAGGAAGTAACCTTGACCTCTCTAGATGTAAGGAAACAACCTCGCCATTTACCTGCATGTCCTGTGTTGTAGCACCTGGTCCACTAGTTACTGTAGGAAGTAACCTTGACCTCTCTAGGTGTAAGGAAACAACCTCGCCATTTACCTGCATGTCCTGTGTTGTAGCACCTGGTCCACTAAGTAACCTTGACCTCTCAAGATGTAAGCCTCGCCATTTACCTGCATGTCCTGTGTTGTAGCACCTGGTTCACTAGTTACTGTAGGAAGTAACCTTGACCTCTCTAGATGTTAGGAAACCTTCTCGCCATTTACCTGCATGTCCTGTGTTGTAGCACCTGGTCCACTAGTTACTGTAGGAAGTAACCTTGACCTCTCTAGATGTAAGGAAACCTTCTGGTCCTTGAGGACAAAGTCCAGTGTAAGAAGGTCCGGCATCCAGGGCTCCACATTTCTTCTGGCTCTGGTACTGGACCTCTCAGAGACGGACACGATGTACTCTGTGGCAGACGACAGTGGGGTGTACAGGCACGAGGAAATTGATTGAAAAAAACATCATATTGTAAAAATGTAAAATTCATTTACACAATTAATATGTAGACCTATATATATTTTTATATATGTATATATATATATATATATATATATATATATATATATATATATATATATATATATATGTATATATATATATATATATATGTATATATATATATATGTATATATATATATATATATGTATATATATATATGTATATATATATATATATATATATATATATATATATATATATATATATATATATATATATATATAATTTATTATATATTCCAAGATGGCCATATTTTCAGAAGGTTCTCTGGTACATGCAAATATTGGCCCTTAAGTACCCTATACCTTTAACATACACAAATTTTAAAAAAGGCTGTAATTAATTAAAAAGTTTTTTTACCGGTTTTTTTCGGAGCCTACCCTTAAATTCAGTATTAATAAAACTCATTATTAATATAATTCAATGTTAGTCCACATGATTGATAAAAATAAAATACGGCTGTAATTCAACACTAACGCAAAAAAAATGAAATTAAATATGTCATTACCTTCTAAAGCAGCAGCACTGTCAACCAAACACCACGCCACCAGATACAACCAAACCAACAATTTCAACTCCCGCAACATGTTTCTCTACATAACTCACTTCACGTGCATTGGAAATCTCTGTGTTGTCTGGTACGTATGCCTGGTACGTATGTGTGCTATGTATGTCTGGTACGTATGGTGATGTTGTGGAGTAGTTGGCCAGATACAGAAGATGTCTGACTTTGATCCACTTTTATAACGAAGTGTAGACATAAAAAGGTGTACCCGTGACGTCACGGCATGTAAATCAGGGACCTGATATTGTCGGGTACCAATGTTGTAAGACTCCCTTACTCCCCCCACCCTCTCCACACCCAGAACAAACTCTCTTTCTGTACTGGTTTCTTGATAGTTCAATAGTTAAAGGGGGAAAAAAGCAATAGTGTTAGGGTATAGGTGGTTGTAGGGGTAGGAGACTAATAAGGTAATGTGGTTGGTGGAGGAGTTGGTGGACGGATTAACGGAAAGGTTGGTGGAGGAATTGGTGGATGGATTAATGGAAAGATGTTGAAATCTTGTTTTTCCATTCTTACCAAAATTTCTCCGTATAAAATTTGTCTATGAGAGGAAATTTTTATTTTTATTTTATGTAGACTTACATTCTGTTTATGTTTTTATACATCAGTTAGACCTACTCACGGTAAAACTACGATCATCAACGGGCGCGCTTTAATTAGATCTACCTGCTAAACTAGATTTTTTTTTTTTTTGATTTTTTTTTTAAAAACACCATTGTTTGTAGGCCCAATGTTTATTTTTTTGCAGGCTCGTTAACCGTTTCGTGTGTGTTGTAATATTTTACACTTTGTTGTTAAATTTAGCGTGGTGACATTCACATAGATCCGACCCCCACATGGTGACATTCACATAGATCCGACCCCCACATGGTGACATTCACATAGATCCGACCCCCCCCCCCAATTCCCTCCAGTCAACACGCGACTTCTAAAGTCGATTTGATTTTCGGAACTCCCCTTCCACCCCCCACCCCCACCCCTTCCACCCCCACCCCTTCCAGCCCCCCACACCCCACCATCTATCTTATATGGGTGTAAATGGTGTGACTACCTTTGTGGATTAAGAACAACCGAGTAAAAGTCTCGAGACATTGAGGTACAAGAGCAGCTGATAATTGCCCGAATGACATTTGCCCGAAGGCCTTTTTTAGGGAGTGGATAATTGTCAGAGATGGACAATTTCCCTAAAGCCACTTGCGAGAAGGCAAACTGCCCAAAACGTAAATAATAATACCCAATTAAAGTAAAAAGTTCTAAGAAAATTGATAATAACACAACACTAATTAATGTATTAAGAAATCTAGGAAAACATGCAAAGTAATTTTTAAGGTCGTTGATTGTTTTATTATATTAGTGATTATTTAATTATGTTGATTGTTTAAACATGAAATGTGTTAAAATTAAATGTTTTTTCACTTATGTCATAGAAAAATGCCCAAGTTCAAGGACACAATCAACGTTCAATTAAAACTTGATATTTATCCCCCAATTTGTCTTGACTGGCTTGACTTCTGCACGAATGTTGACGCTAGGTCAACCTGGGTCAACGGGTAAAGTCAACGGTTGGACCCGAATGAAAGGGGATCTTTTTTTCTTGGGGCGGGACTTCCAACTTTGTAGGGGACATAAGCCCAGTTTTTTTTTTAAAATATTAGGCCCTGGAATGAATACTTTGACACCGCATCTAAATTGACTTATGTTAAAATATTCCAGAGACCTTATGCAAAAATACTAAAAAGCACATCCGCGGTATTGGATAGCAAATTTATTTGTTTTACAGTTTTATTTCAAGGTGTATACATTTGTATAAGGCATTTGTGAAAGTAAATGTATCATGCAAAAAACGGGTTTCATTAGGTGCAGTGGAGCGTGACACCTTATAAAACATTAGCATAAGCCTGGACAATACGACGTGTTTGATCTCATAATTGCCACGCAATAACAAACGATTCAAACACGGACAACGTAATTTGGACAAGAATTTTAAACAAAACGTGAATCGTACAGGACAAGTGTCACGTGGTTTCTTAGAGCAGAAGTGGTTGGTGTAGGAAACAGGAGAAGGGCAGTAAACAGAGGGCTGGAGTTCAGAACAAGTTGTGTATACATTCTCATTCAATCGGAACAAATGGTGTTTACAGTCACATTGAATGAGAACAAATTGTGCATACAGCCACACTGAGTCATAACGAGTTGTGTATGTATTCAAACCGAATCAGTAAATAAATTGTGTATACATTCACATATAATGAGAACATATTGTGTTTACAGTGACATTGAATGAGAACAAATAGCATACATTTTCACACTAAATGATAGCAAACTGTGCAGACCGAGTTTGTGTATGTATTCAAACTGAATCAGTAAATAAATTGTGTATACATTCACATGGAATTATAACATATATCAAATATTTTCCCACTAAATGATAGCAAATTGTGCATATCGTCATACTGAATCAAAACGAGTTGTGTAAGCATTCACAGGTTTTTTAATCAGAAAAAAATATTGTATACATTCCCACTGAATGAGAACAAGTTATGTATACATTCACTGAAGTAACATGTACGTCTCTCAAGCCCTTTTACTGTGACGGTTGGCCGCTTCTTTGTTCTGTTTCTGGTGTCTTTAATAAGCTGGTAATGAGAAATTAATCAATTAAATATTTTGAAATATTCAAACCGATATTAAAAGAGCGTAATGGATTTTTGTACTAGCAAAAGTATTCCTAAAAATAATTAGTAGAAAAATGGATTCCTAAACAATAATTAGTAGAAAAATGGATTCCTAAACAATAATTTGTAGAAAAATGGATTCCTAAACAATAATTAGTAGCAAAATGGATTCCTAAACAATAATTAGTAGAAAAATGGATTCCTAAACAATAATTAGTAGAAAAATGGATTCCTAAACAATAATTAGTAAAAAAAATGGATTCCTAAACAATAATTAGTAGAAAAATGGATTCCTAAACAATAATTAGTAGAGAAATGGATTCTTAAACAATAATTAGTAGAAAAATTGATTCCTAAACAATAATTAGTAGAAAAATGAAGTCGATTAAAAAAATTCTACAAAGATATGGCAAACAGAAGAAACTTTCACTGGAAAAAATGAAATTCACAAAAATATTTAACTAGAAAAATGGAATCCAAAAAAATATTTCACCAGATAAATGGAATAAACAAAAATATTACAAGATAATTGAGTTCACAAAAATATTACTTGAAAATGGAATCCACGAAAATATTACTAGATAATGGATTCAACAAAAATATTTGTTCTAGAAAATTCACAAAAATATGTTTTCTAGATATTGGAATCCACAATAAATATTTCACAAGAAAATGGAATCCACAAAAATATTACTAGATTATGGAATCCACAAAAATATTTTTTCTAGAAAATGGAATCCACAAAAATATTTTTTCTAGAAAATGGAATCCACAAAAATATTTTTACTGGAAAACGGCATCGATAAAAATATTTTACTAGAAAAATGGCATCAACAAAAAATATTTCACCAGAAAAATGGAATCGACAAAAATATTTTTACTGTAAAATAGCATCCATTAAAATATTTTACTGAAAAAAATGGCATTGAAAAAAACTATTTCACCAGATAAATTGCATCACTTACTTCTTACAACTCATCCAGCCGTCCAAGTTTCTGAGATAGATAAACATTGCACAGCCGTCCAAAGGGATCGATCCAAATATGTTGGACTTTTGGGGGTTGTCGGGTTGTTGTGTCAAGGGGTTGTCGGGTTGGTGTGTCAGGGGGTTGTCGGGTTGTTGTGCGAGTTGCTGTTGAAGTTTTGAGAGTTGTGATTGTAAAGCTTGGAGAAGGTTGTCGGGTTGTGGGAGGTGTAACTCTAGTGGTTGATGGAGGTTGCTCCCATGTTTAATGTTGGATGCCTGACCGAGACTATTGTCTTGTATTGGCTGGTTGACGGGTTGGACGTTTTGTTGGGTTGAGCCTGGGGCTGGTTGCATTGACTGAACTGAGTGAATCGTCAAGGACTGAGCTTGGTTTGATTGATCAAACTGGTTATGAAAGGAAAACTGAAATATTTGTGAATTTGTAATAGTTGATCCTGTTTTGTCTGTAGAAGTTTGTTGTTGTTGAAGTTTTAAAATGTAGTCAGTTTGTTGTCTGGTCATCATGTTGTTGCTTTGTTCCGCTGATGAATAAGACACAGATTTAGAGGATAGATTCATTGAGTTGTTTGTTGTTAAATTTTGTATTTGCTGCATCTCTAGCGAGCACGTTCTGGTGGTGTCTGTGTGGTTCTTTAGTTTTGGTTCGGTGGTTGGTCTATCTGGGTCGTGATTTGTGGTAGGGATTTCTTTAGGCTGGGTTGGTGGAGGGTTGGTGGAGGTAGGGTTGGCTGTGGTAGGGTTGGCTGTGGTAGGGTTGGCTGTGGTAGGGTTGGCTGCTTTATCAGCTGTTCCATCAGGCGGTGCGGCTGTTCGCGAAGGCGGTGCGGCTGTTCCATCAGGCGGTGCGGCTGTTCCATCAGGCGGTGCGGCTGTTCCATCAGGCGGTGCGGCTGTTCCATCAGGCGGTGCGGCTGTTCCATCAGGCGGTGCGGCTGTTCCATCAGGCGGTGCGGCTGTTCCATCAGGCGGTGAGGCTGTTCCATCAGGCGGTGCAAGAGACGTGTTTTGGGTGACATCAGCAGTTGTTGCCGTGCCTGCAGCTTCTGGTTCACTGGTGGCTTGTGTTGAAAGGTTGCTGACACAGTGACCGGCATAGCACCACTGAAAGACACAAGAACGGCATACAGTGACCGGCATAGCACCACTGAAAGACACAAGAACCGGAATACAGTGACCGGCATAGCACCACTGAAAGACACAAGAACCGGAATACAGTGACCGGCATAGCACCACTGAAAGACAAAAGAACGGCATACAGTAACCGGCATAGCACCATTGAAAGACACAAGAACCGGTTTAAAAATACTATTGTGAGCATTTATTATTTACGTATATCAATGTATAAATCACTTAAAGCTCACGATTTTAACGACATTAACTGAGCAATATTGAGGAGCAAACGATTCAATCAACATAAACTCATGAGTAATGTGATACAAACGATTCAGTCAACATTAATTGAACAATAATGTGACACAAACGATTCAGTCACCAGTGAGCAATAATGTGACACAAACGATTCAGTCACCAGTAAACAATAATGTGGTACAGACCATGTTGTCCCCGCACGCTGTGTGTTCCAGTGGTAACGTGATGTAGCAAAATGTCGAGTCATCAACTGAGCTACAGAACATCCCGCTACAGACTAGATGCTCTCCCCCGTTCATTTGTTGGACGTCCTGTGGGTTAGGAGAGGTCAATGTAGTGAGAATGTTTTTGTGTTTGGTTGGTGGTCGGGTGAGATCGCACATTTTTGGGGTTTATCCCTTATCCTACATGTTTGGGCGTTTATCCCTTATCCTACATGTTTGAGCGTTTATCCCTTATCCTACATGTTTGGGCGTTTATCCCTTATCCTACATGTTTGAGCGTTTATCCCTTATCCTACATGTTTGGGCGTTTATCCCTTATCCTACATGTTTGAGCGTTTATCCCTTATCCTACATGTTTGAGCGTTTATCCCTTATTCTACATGTTTGAGCGTTTATCCCTTATTCTACATGTTTGAGCGTTTATCCCTTATCCTACATGTTTGAGCGTTTATCCCTTATCCTACCAACATGACGTATATCCCTTATCCTACGTGTGTGTGCTTATATCCCTTATCCTACCTTACAGTAATGGCTGCCAGAGTCACGTGATGACCGTGCACACTGCTCGTCTTTGGTCAACACCTGCCCTGGACTTGGTCCACTTGGTAAAACGTTTGACTGTTTTGTCTTCTCAGGTAAAGTACAGTCGGTTCTTCAACAGTTAAATAAAATTTAGAAGTAATTATGGTAATAATTATGTTAATACTTATGCACATGTGAAATATAGGCATTTTTTTCAGTACAACAGATACAAGTATCATTTTAGTTAAAGTAAAAATTACAAATGGACATCTTATTTTAGTTTTTAATTTACTTCACAGTAGCGAGGATTGAATGTCGAGCTAGTATTTAAATATTTTCAGTTTCTTTGATCAATGTTACGATGGGTTTTATTACAAATTCCATCAGACAGAGAGTTCAGATCACAGGTTCGGTTCCGTGTATCCCTGAGTCAACTCAGCTCTGATTGGTACCTGACTCGTGTCTAGGAAGTAAAGACGGCTGGGCATATTGCCGTCCACATTTAATTTTATATGCCGAGGTCAGCGAAACTGAATCATCTGCCCCGTGGAAAATGTTGTCCAACTTGGAACTTTATAAAAGAACTGAATTTCATTACAGAACTTAAATTTATTACAGAACTTAACTGTATTACAGAACTTAAATTTATTACAGAACTTAAATTTATTACAGAACTTAAATTTATTACAGAACTTAAGTTTACTACAGAAATTAAGTTTACTACAGAATTTAACTTTGATCAAGAAGTTAATTTTAATAGAACTTAACTTTGCTACAGAACGTAACTTTGTTACAGCACTTAACTTTGCTACAGAACTTAACCTCAAAACATAACCTGAGGTCACGGAGCTGAACAAAAAGCTGAACTGTTGCCAGCAGAACTTACATCTGTAGATACGTCTTGAAGGCCTTGATGGAGCAGGGGGAAAACCTCCATGGGTTGCCCTCGTTGCTGGGGTCCACAGAGCTGGACGACACTGTGGACATGATGTACTGGTCATCGTCACGACAGGAGTCAGTGTTGGCGTCATGACTCGCTGACAGGCTGGGGAGGTTTGAGTCAGCTGTGTTAAACTCAAAGATGTGGGAAGAAATGCGTGTTTGGTGTGCATCTTTAAAAACATGCGTAAAATTTGTAAAATCGCAATTAGTATTGATCTACAGCTGTCTTTGATTTGTCACATGAAACAAAATCACGAGGCATGGAAAACATCTGTCACCACCACACAACACCTGTCACCACCACACACACCTGTCACCACCACACACACCTGTCACCACCACACACACCTGTCAACACCACACACACCTGTCACCACCACACACACCTGTCATCACCACACACACCTGTCACCACCACACACACCTGTCACCACCACACACACCTGTCACCACCACAACACACCTGTCACCACCACAACACACCTGTCACCACTACACACCTGTCACCACCATAACACACCTGTTACCACCACAACACACCTGTCACCACAACACACATATCACCACAACACACCTGTCACCACCACAACACACCTGTCACCACCACAACACACTTGTCACCACCACACACACCTGTCACCACTACACACCTGTCACCACCATAACACACCTGTTACCACCATAACACACCTGTCACCACCACAACACACATATCACCACTACACACCTGTGAACACCACAACACACCTGTCACCACCACTACACACCTGTCACTATCACATCACACCTGTCACCACCACTACACACCTGTCACTATCACATCACACCTGTCACCACCACAACACACCTGTCACCACAACACACCTTTCACCACCACAACACACCTGTCACCACCACAACACACCTGTCACCACCACAACACACCTGTCACCACAACACACCTGTCACCACCACAACACACCTGTGAACACCACAACACACCTGTGAACACCACAACACACCTGTCACAACAACACATCTGTCACCACAACACACCTGTCACTATCACATCACACCTGTCACCACCACAACACACCTGTAACCACAACACACCTGTCACCACCACAACACACCTGTCACCACCACAACACACCTGTCACCACAACACACCTGTCACCACAACACACCTGTCACCACAACACACCTGTCACCACAACACATCTGTCACCACCACAACACACCTGTCACCACCACACACACCTGTCACCACAACACACCTGTCACAACAACACATCTGTCACCACCACAACACACCTGTCACAACAACACATCTGTCACCACCACAACACACCTGTCACCACAACACACCTGTCACCACAACACACCTGTCACAACAACACATCTGTCACCACCACAACACACCTGTCACCACCACTACACACCTGTGACCCAGCTCGTGTGCTGCTATCAGACCGACCAGGCCGTCCACTGTACTTTTGATTATGGAGACACCAAAGGGCGTGCATGCACTGCTCATGTAGGCTCGACCTGTGAACTCTTCCACCTCCATCCTGTACACACAGCAGAACTCACTCAGTGGGTTGTTTTATCTTAGGCTAACATTGTACTCAACAACAATATATATATATATATATATATATATATATATATATATATATATATATATATATATATATATTTATATAAACAATCTAGAAAAAGATGAAGTGCCAACGCACCCAGTAAACAGCATGTAGTGATCACTGGGTGGGATGTCCTTCTGTTGTTGATGCCAGACGACGAATCTCTCAAGTCCAGTGTTGGCGTTAAACACGTCGTTGACGTGAAACATTTGCACGAACTCGTCGTGGTGAGCTTTCTCATGTAGGGAGACAGAGGACACGGCGTAAAGCGAGACTAGGAGACGGCGTAAAGCGAGACAAGGACACGGCGTAAAGCGAGACAAGGACACGGCGTAAAGCGAGACAAGGGGTGTAAAGCGAGACAAGGACACGGCGAAAAGCGAGACAAGTACACGACGTAAAGCGAGACAAGGGCTGTAAAGCGAGACAAGGACATGACGTTAAGCGAGACATGGACACGGCGTAAGGCGTAAAGCGAGACAACTACACGGCGTAAAGCGAGACAAGGACACAGCGTAAAGCGAGATTGTTTACATTTAACACAACCTGTCTGTATCAGTCGAACCTAGATCACACTGTCACCATCAGCAATCTCAAGTCTATGGTCTATGGTTGAGTAGGGTGTAGCAACAGTCAGTCAAGTCAGTCAAGTCAATTGTCTTTTGTCTCTGTCATTTCTCTCTGTCATTACTAACACACTGTAAAATAAATGATCGTAGGCCTACCATTTAGTAAACTCACTGTTAACTGAGTGCATCAAATAGGTAACTCACTGTTAACTGAGTGCATCAAATATGTAACTCACTGTTAATATTTTTAGAACACTTATCGTTGTTCTGATGTTGAAGTCCGTGTCTTGAATGGAGACATACCTCATGTTGATCTGATCAAAGTTTCACAAATTATTTTATTTTTCTTAGATAATCATTGAATGTTCTTATAGCATTGAACTATTTTAAGGTGTTTTAAAGTAATAGTGGTTTCTAGCCGATGTCAAAGAAAAATTGCATCCGATGGGATATATATATATATATATATATATATATATATATATATATATATATATATATATATATATATATATATATATAAGCTTATATGACTTAGCAGATTCAATTTTATCGCAGGCACGATGCTGTATCGTATTGGCAAGTACATATTTGTAATTTAGTTTTAAGCAAGTCGACATTGAGCAGTTGTATACTCGTCTGTTCCATCAAAATGGCTTAGGCGTATATAGAGGTGTACAAGTTTTATAACAGAAAAACGTTTTAAAATAGCTCATGGTAATTGTTAAAATAAACTAACTTAAAACGGTTTGTATTTGTCGCTAACGCTATGATGATGTGTCAAATCGCAGGAGTGGTAATTGAACAGCGCTAAGAAACGAATCAAAGACTTAGGCCTAATTACTGAATCATAAGAGGACTGACCGTCTCAGCGACGTAGGTGTACCATAGCCTCATTTCACTCAAAGCATTGGCCGCACCATGGGACATCTCCCACCTGAAAAACAAACAGGAACATTCTAGAGCAGTTCACACCTTATGTCAAGAACTAGGTCATGGACGGGTACATATGTATACTTTGATTCGAATAATTGATCCAATTTTTTAAATTGTATACAATAGAATTTAGGTTATTTTAAAAAAATACTTTGAAATGTATACATCCTGTAAAAAAAACAACAACAAATGTTATTGTAGTGAGTGAAACGTGCGTGTTGTTGGTATTTTGTGTGGTAACATAGAGGGCGCCGTGTGACTAGTGGTGTCCAGGAAGGAGTTCGCTGTAACATTGTATAACAGAGGACTGTAACATTTTATAACAGAGCACTGTAACACTGTATAACAGAGCACTGTAACATTGTATAACAGAGCACTGTAACATTGTATAACAGAGCACTGTAACATTGTATAACAGAGGACTGTAACATTTTATAACAGAGCACTGTAACACTGTATAACAGAGCAATATAACATTGTATAACAGAGCACTGTAACATTTATAACAGAGCACTGTAACATTGTATAACAGAGGACTGTAACATTGTATAACAGAGGACTGTAACATTGTATAACAGAGGACTGTAACATTGTATAACAGAGGACTGTAACATTGTATAACAGAGGACTGTAACATTGTATAACAGAGCACTGTAACATTGTATAACAGAGCACTGTAACATTGTATGACAGAGCACTGTAACATTGTATAACAGAGCACTGTAACATTGTATAACAGAGGACTGTAACATTGTATAACAGAGGACTGTAACAGTGTATAACAGCACTGTAACATTGTATAACAGAGCACTGTAACATTGTATAACAGAGGACTGTAACATTGTATAACAGAGCACTGTAACATTGTATAACAAAACACTGTAACATTGTATAACAGAGAACTGTAACATTGTATAACAGAGCACTGTAACATTGTATAACAGAGGACTGTAAGATTGTAGAAAAAGAGCACTGTAACATTGTATAACAGAGCACTGTAACATTGTATAACAGAGAACTGTAACATTGTATAACAGAGCACTGTAACATTGTATAACAGAGGACTGTAACATTGTAGAAAAAGAGCACTGTAACATTGTATAACAGAGCACTGTAACATTGTATAACAGAGCACTGTAACATTGTATAACAGAGCACTGTAACATTGTATAACAGAGCACTGTAACATTGTATAACAGAGCACTGTAACATTGTATAACAGAGCACTGTAACATTGTATAACAGAGCACTGTAACATTGTATAACAGAGCACTGTAACATTGTATAACAGAGCACTGTAACATTGTATAACAGAGCACTGTAACATTGTATAACAGAGCACTGTAACATTGTATAACAGAGCACTAATGTAACTAAAGAACTAAACCGCACGGACGTGGAATTTTGACTTAGGACAACAGCTTTTACTGTCATTAATATATTTAAAATATTGTAGATAATTATTTATATCGAAAATATATAGTTTACCCCCCCCCCCCCGTAGAAAATGTCTGAAAGACATAGGCAACATGGGGGGGGGAGAAGACAAGTCTGATGCATTCTGTGGCCTACATCAATCGTTTCAAAAGGTGGGTCAAATTAGTGCAGGGGTGGGTCAACTTTTGTGTGGGTGGGTCAACCCGGGAGGGGGGGCGGAACCCCGAAGAGATGCATGGAAGAAACTCTGATTACAGGCCGTTTATAAAATCCTAGTTATAGGCCAGCTATGTACGATTTAAGGAGCCATTACATGCCCGCTACAAAAAAAAAACATTCTTGATATAGATCTAGTTGATATACCAAGACAATGATGCTCTAGTTTATGTAAGCTAAAGTAAAGGACGTGTGTGTGTGGGGGGGGGGAGGGTTGGGTCTGTCTTTACATCGTGTATCACTTACGTCATCATCTCCCTGTTTTCAGTTGTCCACATGCCGATTAAGGAAGTTAAAGCTCCCAATGTAAAATAATCTCAAGGTACAAATCTCAAAGTAAACATCTATATAGGACATATTCTAGGGACATTTCTAAGCGTGGCATGTCTAGAAAAACTGACACAGTAGGCAATCATGTCACACTCGGGTCAGATTTCTTAGACAATATATTACAGGGGAGGGGGGGGGGGGTGCGACGTCATTTTTGGACAAACGTTTGGTGTTCCTGGTAATATTGCTTTGACAAATATTTTTTTACTATACGGAATTAGGCAATGTCAAACAATTTTTTTCCAGGCATTTCTTCGAACAAAATAGAATTTATATAGAAAAAATTAATTTATACTTTTAGCAGTGTCCGCCCCTCCGAAATTTTAGTCTGCCCCCACCCGCTCGGGGGGGGGGGGTCTGGAACAAACACTCTTTACAAATAATTTGTCATTGTGTTTTGACAAATCTTTGTCTCTGATATCGTTGTATGCATTGTGACCTACTTAGGTCGAGTCATTTTTATTTTGACATTGTATAATTCCTTATATGGAATGATGGTGTAACACCTGGGGTTTTTCCACTGACTTATTAAGGTGTTTGAGACATAGAAATTTTCCATTAAAATCTGATTGAATGATTCTGATCAGATGATTATCCCAACCAATGGCGACATGAGTTGAGGATAACCTCCCCTGTCACAGAAGTCTTTAATTGCACTGCACACTCGCAACACGAGGCAGTTTTTCTTGACCTGGCAGTCTACGAGGCAGTTTTACCTTAGTCAGGCAGCCGTCCACATTGTCCGGCTATAGACTCTGACCATTTGAACGTGAGAGTACTTAAGACCTGTGTGTGCCTTGCTTTCTTAAGGTGATTTAATCTTCTATTTTAATATTACTTGTCGCTAAGTAAGTCTAGAAGCTACAGCAGTGTTGTGTGGCCTGTAGCTGTTCTTAGGACAGTGTAGAAATCTGTGATAGTGTTTTTTCCTACATTGTGTAAGTTGGGTTTTTGATATTTTATACATTAAATATTTTATCTAGTTCATCTTTGTGTTTTGCCACATCTGAGTTCGCTGATTAAATGGTCGTATGTAGATTGGATGAGTGTTAATTACAATAGTATCACTAGCTCCCCTAGACATTAATTTCGAGCCCTAGTGGTCGTTGTGTTAAGTGTTCATCCACTTAGGCCGTAAGGCATTTGCATATGACCCCGAAAAAAGAATCCGGGGACGTTCTCCTTCTATTTGGCTGATAGAAAGGTTAACGTTACAAAGTGGGAGCTCGCCGAGATTTAATCTGTCGTTCCAGTTGTTGGTTATATCAGTTGAATACTAAGGTTAGTTGGATTTAGTTGTTTTTATATCCAGTAGCGCAGTGTTCTTACAACGCGCGCTCAGGCTAGAGTATCTAGGTCAAATAAGCAGACGTGTCGTCCTAGATTGAAGAGGTCAAGTACACGGCCCAACGCTGTGTATTAATTTAAAGAATCTAGGCTTGTTGTGATTTTCAAGTTAGTGTTATGGAGTCTTTTTTGGCTAATCCTACTGTTGAAGATGTAGAAAAGTTGAGTAGAAAAGTTTTGGTTAGTGTTGTTAAGGAATTGAAATTGGATTATTCTGTTACGCAGAAGTCAGAGGTGTTGAGAGATAAAATTGTTGTTCATTTCATTAATGAAGGGGTATTTGACGAAAGTTTGTTAGCTAGTGTGTTGCTCCGCGAGGAGAAATCTATAGAAGAGAGGGAGCTTTTATTAAAAGAAAAGGAGTTAGAGGCTAAAATTGCTTTAGATAAGAGGAGGTTGGAATTAGAGTTTGGTCAAGTTAGTGATGTCACTTCTCTGGTAGATCCAAAAAAGTTGTCGGTAGGGCAAGTGATTGCCAAATTTGGGAAATTAGTTCCTAAATTTGATGAAACAGATTTGGTCGTTTTCTTTAACTCGTTTGAGAGTTTAGCGAAGACATGTGAATGGCCCGAAACTTCCATTACTGCTTTATTGAGCTCGGTCCTTACTGGGAAAGCTGCAAAAACATACCAGGCACTCTCTCACGACGTTCAAAATAACTATAGTTTGGTCAAGACTGCCATTTTAAAGGCCTACGCACTGACGCCCGAGGCCTATCGGACAAAATTCCGAACACTCCGCAAGTTACCCACACAATCATATGTGGAATTTCTCTTTGAAAAGGAGAAAATATTTTCAAGGTGGCTACACTCTGAGGAAGTTTCTGAGTTTGAGAAACTCAGGTCACTTATCCTAAGGGAAGAATTCCTATCGTCCCTGCCTGAAGAGATACGACTACACATTCTGGATAACAAGATAACTGACATCCAGAAGGCTGCTGAGTCGGCTGACACCTATATGTTGGTGCATAAGAAACCACCAGTGTCAGGAAACCGCCTCAACCCCGTGCTTCCCCTTTTTGGCAGCAATCATCCTGTTGGCCAACATTTGAAGGCATCACAGTCCAGAGAGAAACCAAGATCAACTCTCAATCGTCGAGCAGTATGCCAGTTTTGCAAAAGGTCTGGTCACCATGTCAAGGACTGTTACAAACGTCTTCAGAATAACAGAGAGGTGGTGCGTACTTCCGCGCACTATGCTCTATCCCCTCAAGCAGCCAGTTCAACTATGAACTCTAGAATTCAAAAGGACTCTAACCCTAAGTGTCCGCAAGAAGGTAGTCAAGTCTCCACACATTATGTGCAGTCACATTTTGACTGTTCTCGCCACCATCCAGTTTCTTCCGAGTCTACCGATCTCGAGGGATCGAGAAAAGTTGACTTTTCATCTTTTATTGCCGAAGCCATCATTAGCAAACCAGGTGATCCGTTGTCTCAGAAGAATATCACCGTTCTAAGAGACACAGGAGCGTCACAATCACTCCTTTTGAAAAGTTCAATGGACATTACACCAGAGACGAACACCGGAAGGATTTCCATTATCCAGGGAGTGGGGACAAAATCTACTGTCGTCCCTCTACACAAGTTTGCCCTGAAACATCATCTCGTCGAAGGTGAGGTCATTTTAGGTGTGGTAGATAGTATTCCTGTCCCAGGAGTACACCTACTTCTA